ACTGAGGTCATCCTTAGGCCCCTTGACCCCGGCACTCTCGCAGACAGGGCTGCCAGGAACTCCACAGCCACAGCGAGTTCTGTGAAGACGTCTGGGGAGAAAACCTGTCAGAGTGGGTGGAGGAGACCCCAGTGGTAGGGAGTGATGTCAGCTTTTGTTAGAGCCGCAGACAGCATTAGAATATCCTTGGCATAATATGGCACTGGTATCTCTGTCGGCATCTCTGTTTTCTGTCACCACACACAATCCAGGGCCCCTCTCCCGCCCTGACAGTGTCTGTTCAGATCAGGGTATTGCCCGCACAGAGACCAGCCCTGCTCCCTGCCACACAGCCCCTTTGTTTGAAGTCTGCCCTTTTGTCACTAATGCACTCGGTGTCTATTTAAATCTGACAGTGACTGTGGTATCTGTTTTCCCGTCAGGAGATCATTGACAATATTAATACCTCATGTCCTTGCCTCGTTCTCCAAGCTCTGACACCTCCCTGCGTCTCCTGCATTCATCAGGCAGCCTCTCTCTCCAGGGTGCCTATAAACCATCTTGCTTCCAGGCCCAAAGCAGCACCTCAAAAAGGACTTTTATCAATGCCACCAGAGAGGAGGACTGGGAAACATGGCTCAGAACATGTCACCTTCCTCCATGTCAGGGCCCACGTTCAAGGTGTAACAGCCTATTTCCAGGGTGGCATCTGAGGCCCAGGTTTCACCTAGGCCAAAGCCAGAGTTGAGGTTTACTGTGGGGAGAGGGCAGAGAAAAGAAATCCAATCCGAATGTGCTGGAAAATTTGCAGGAGGGAATGAATACGCCCACTGGAGTATGGTATGTGTGTCCTGTGTCTGCCTCGCATTCTTTTACTCAAGAGCAAGACTGGGCTCTTTATGATATCTGACAGCCCTGTCCATTTTGTGCGTGCGTGTGTGTGTGTGTGTGTGTGTGTATAAAAATGCATGCTGTCCTGGTGCTATAGAGAGACATTAACATCTTTCCGCCTCATTCTTCATGGGTGCATTTGAATCAATTATGTTTAAGGAAGCCCCTTGTGGATTTCCAGAAACACCTGCGACACTCCCTCCCAGGCCTGTAGGGGATGCTGTTCCTGGAACAGATTCTAACCAGCCAAGCCCTCAGACAGGTTCTGGGCATTGGGGTCAGTGTCAGTCCAACCGAGGCGCTATACAATAAGAACAGCTCAATGGCAATAGCTAAAAGAATCACATAGAGATTTTAAGGATTCCGGAAAGTTTTATCCAAGCTCCGTGTTTCCAGTGTTTCCAGTCCCAAACCCAAAAACAGAAATTGGGGATGGGGAGCGAAGGAGAAAGGATGGCCAGGGGCGGGGCTGGGGGGTGAGGGGGTGGAACACAGCAAACTTGCTCTTGGGAATACAGTAAAAAATAGAAGGAATGAGAGCATCACCAAGACCAGTTTGGAGGCCATGGGAGAGTATCATCCTCTCACCAACTCTCAGATTCTGTGACCCCAATTCCCAACTTTGTCCCAAGTCATTCAAACCCAGGAGCATCTGCCTGCTTGTCCTTAAAAGTTTCTGAGTCATTGTTAATCTGTAGTTAAGAAGATTTAAAGTTCTGCAATGGAGAAATGTCTCTTATACAATCACAAAATATTTACTACTTAGAACTTCTGATGTGAAGGACCTGGATAATTTCAAATGCTAATTTATCCTAAGTAAAGAATAGCTGGCGATTGTTGGTTTCCTACTATCACACTGATGGGAAGAAATCAGACATATAGGTAGCTATTTTTATAGGCTGATTTGTGGCTCATGAATTAATGTTTTATGGACATTTCTTTGTTCGTTTTTTTCTTTCTGGTTATGCACACATCAGAGACTCAAGTGTTATTAGTAACAAGACAGCTGTGAAGCTGATTTTTAAGTTTTTTCCAAAATTAGAAGAAAAAACAAGGTGGCAAAAATAAAATTGTAGTATAAATGTTTCCTTGGAAAAACTTTTTTCCCCTCAAATATCCTACAAAGCTTTTATAATAATTATGGTAGGTGATTTCTTATGGATATTTAAAATAAATATTGAGTTGCTTAAAAGGTTTAACCTTATTCTAAGAGTATTTTTTATAGTTAAACCCTCCCATAACTTCCTTGAGTGAAAGGAAAACTGTATATGGAGCTATACAATTATTTAAAATAAAACTGAAAATAAAAATCAACCATGGCTGGTTTGGCTCAGTTGAAGGGCCCCAGGTTTGATTGTGGTCAAAAGCACATGCCCAGGTCTCAAGCTCAATGCCCAGTGTGTGTGCGTGTGCGTGTGCGTGTGCGTGTGTGTGTGTGTGTGTGTGTGTGTGGTGGGGAAAGGGGGGAGAGGGTATTGATCAATGATTCTCGTCATTGATGTTTCTCTCTCCCTCTCTGAAATAAGTAATATATATTGAACAGTCTTCTCTGAATATTATATATATAAAATCAAATGCATCCCTACCTGAGACTATAGTTCAACCTGTGAGAAGGATCCTTTAGCATCCAGGCTCTTGTGACTTTCCATGTGGCCTGTTGTCAGCACCAGCCCTCTTCCTTGATCAGCCCTTAAGTGCTTGGTGCCTCCTGGGAACTGGAAGGTCCTTTTAGGAAGTTAGCAATATTGACTCATGACAGAGGACTGAAAATAGTCACATTCAGGGAAGACTGTTCCACATCTTTTGCTTGGGCCAGGCCCATCTTTAAATTCTTAATGTCCCATTTTTAGAAACTGCTAAGAAAACCTGGAGAGGAGATCCAAGATGGCTGCCCCCAGGTGAACACCTAGCCGCAGCTGCACACAACAATTTCAATAAAATACAACTAAAATATAAAACAGACATTGCCTAGAACTACAGGAAGGTTGACTGACTGGAAATTCTACAGCGAGAAGCAAGGAGAAAACCAAAAGGAGGCACGGAGGAACTGTAAAAGCCCAAGGTACGGAGACACGCGGCGCGCGCGGAGAGGAAGGAGCTGGAGAGGAGGGAGGCCGAGTGCCTGGCTGGCGTTCCCTATCGGGAAGGAGATAAAACTCCGACTGAGCTGGACCCCCGACTGCTCTGAACCCCAGTTCTAAGCCAGACCCCGGGGACTCAGGCTCAGCCATAGGGAGCCGGGCTGTAAGGCGGAACCCCAGGGAGAGGCGAAAGGAGGTCCCGGAGGTGCGCACACTGCACACAGAGAAGGGACAGTCGGCTGTGCCGCGGGATTGCCCTGACGGGAAGGAGACTGGGGCTCCAGACTGCTCTGAACACCACCTCCAACTCCACTTCAAACGGAACTGAACCCCAATACCGGGCTCATTGTGGGAGAGCATAGACTGTTTGGCAGCAGGCGAAAATCGAGGGCACCTTTCTCTCAGAGGCGCCAGCAGCGAACACTGAAGGACCCGCATAGGGCTGACGGAAGCCAAAGCTGCAGGCTCCACCCTGAAACCCCATCCCATCTGTAACTGCGAAATGCGACAACAAAATAGATCACAAACGAAAGAAATGGAGGACAAAAAGCATCTGGATATAGAGTTCAAATCTACGCTTATAAGGTTTTTCAAGAATTTCCTAGAAAAGATGGATAAGGCCTATGAGGATATGAAAAGAGATCAACTAGAATTAATAAGGAGTCAACAAGAAATGATAAGGGACCAACAAGAAATAAAGAATACATTGTCTGAAATAAAAAAATATTTTACAGAGTCCTAAAAACAGAAGGGAAGATCGCAAGAATCAAGTCAAAGATTTGGAACATAAAGAGCCAGAAGACACTCCTCCACAGAAGCTAGAAGTCAAGAGAATCCAGAAACTTGAAGATAATGTAAGAAACCTCTGGGACAACTTCAAGCAAACCAACATCAGAATTATGGGGGTCCCAGAAGATGACAGAGAGCAAGATATTGAAAACATACTGAAAGAAATAGTGACAGAAAACTTCCCCGACCTGGTGAAAGAATTAGACTTACAAGTCCAGGAAGCACACAGAACTCCAAACAAAAGGAATCCAAAGAGGACCACACCGAGACACATCATTATTAAAATTCCAAGAGCAAAAGACAAAGAGAGAATATTAAAAGAAGCAAGAGCAAAGAAGGTAGTAACCTATAAAGGAGTACCTATACGATTGTCAGCTGACTTCTCAACAGAAACCATGCAGGCCAGAAGGGAATGGCAAGAAATATTCAAGGTGATGAATAGCAAGAACCTACAGCCAAAAATAATCTACCCAGCAAAGCTATCACTCAGAATCGAAGGTCAGATAAAGAGCTTCACTAATAAAAAAAAGCTAAAGGAGTTCATCAACACCAAACCAGAATTATATGAATTGCTGAAGGGGGTTCTTTCAGAAGAGAAAGTAAACAAAGATAAAAATTATGAACAACAAATACGTAACTATCAACAAGTGAATCTAAAAACCAAGGAAATTAAAAAAATCTGATGAACAATATTAACTGTTGAATATAATAGAATCAGAGGTATGGAAGGGGAGTGAACTGATGATTCTTGGGTAAAAGGGGAGAGGGGGGCGTGGGAAGAGACTGAACATAAACTGTGCACCTATGGATGAGGACAATGGGGAGTGGGGAAAGGGCAGAGGGTGGGGTGGGAACCTGGTGGAGGAGAGCAATGGTGGGGGGGGGGGGGGGAAGGAACATTTGTAATAATATGAACAATAAAAACTTATTAAAAAAAAAAAAAAAAAAAAGAAAGAAAACCTGGAGAGAGGAGAGGGTTATGCTTTCTTTTGAGGAGTAATTGGGCAACTTAGAAAAGTCTCTAAAATGTGGAAGAGACATCATGGGGGAAGTCACGATATTCTGGGAGCCTGTACTCTGCTGACATTTTATGATATTTGAATGTCAACGGTGAGGACAAGAAGGGAGGGTCCTTCCCTGAGGGACTTACTCCTTGTGCTGCCACCCGTGGGACCTGGGCCTGTGTTGGGTCCTGCTTTGCAGCACCATCCGGTTCCTGCTGGAACGGCGGTTTGTAACAATGTTCTTTTCTGTTTCCAGGTGTCCTGGGGAAGTGTCGCTATGTTTACTATGGGAAGAACTCGGAGGGCAACAGGTTTATCCGAGATGACCAGCTCTGAAGGCAAGTTCTGTGTGTCTTAGCCCATGTCATGAGGATTTAAGCAAAAAGGGAAAGCAGACATAAAGAAAAAGCTGAACAAAAAAGACCATGCCCAGGTGGCATCTCTGTGGGAAGGCTACGACTTCGGCTTTTGGTACCTTCTGCTGACTTCGCCAGGCCTGTCACCATCATCTTTCTGCCTTACACTGAGTGGTCACACAGAGATTGACATGATTGCCCTTAAGCAGGTCTCATCCACCAGGGTGACAGACAGCAGCGGCGAAGCACCGGGGCTGACAGGATGAACACCATGATAGATTGCCTGGCCCTCCGCTGCTCACGGGGGAGCAGAGGTCACACCTGGGGCCTCTGTGAGCATGCGCAGTGGCTGTGACCAAGTGAGAGAGACTGTCTTCAGCTTGCCTACTGAGTAGAGATCCCTCTGATGTCATTGTCCTGTGGGCTTCTTTTTAGTGAAATAGTCGCAATTTTGAGGAAGCCCACTCTTGTTTTTTCCTCGCATATCTCATATTCTCTGTGGCCCACCCCATTCTTTAGTATCTTTCTCACGGGCAATGGGTTTTGGTTTGCAATTTTTCAGAGAGCAGAAGGTGTAAGTTTTCAGCCGGGCCATTCATGCATGGCCTGTTTCATGTTGTCACACTTTCTGAATTGGAGTAACTAGCTTTCCCTAAGTCCCTGACAATACAAGCATGGACTTAACCTTGTTTTGTTCATTTCTAAATCCATGTTTTGCCTTGCATACTTGGCAGTGTCAGGCATCTTTTCCAGCACCAGGCTCTGGGTATACCAGGGACTTTTAATATTTTTAATTCATTCACTCATTCATTCATCCATTCACTCATTCATTCACTCACTCATTCATTTCTAACCACATGCACCTTCTACTATATGGCCATAGTTGTGTTTGGAGCTAGCTTGCTCCTTTGGGTGCTACTTTAAGGTAGTAATATGATAAAAGAAAGTGGTGTATCAGAAGGTAAGAGAGACAGGAAGACTATAGAAAATGTCTGTCAGACAAAACAGTTGTAATGCACAACACAAACCCTTTCAATTTGGTGTCATTCTCAGGACCTCTCAGAAATTAAATCCATAGCTGGTGAGATAGCCTTGGTGTGTGTTGGACCATACTTCAGCACCAATGTTTCCAGGAAAATAAGCATGATGATCAGGCTGGGTGGGGGGCTTTAGTGTCATTTATTTTTGTTTCTTCTATTTAGACCAGGTGATCACTGTATCTCCTAGTTCTAGTATAGTTTGAGGACAGCAAAACCTGAAAGAGAATCCTTCTAGTTACAGGTACCAAATAACTAAAGAGTTGCTATTGTAAAACCGTTTGGGGAGTCAGGATCCCTGAAACACCCAAGAAGAACCGATTTTCTCAGTTCTAGCCCATGTACAGGGACTCAGGCACTGAGTCAGCACAGTCCTTGAATGACTTGCGTGGGGCCTGGCCGGAGTCCCTTTTGTAGATTATGTAACCTTTGGTCATCAGTTATTTAACTTAAAATCCCCAAGACGGTTAAGGGAGGACATTGCGTGTTTGCCTTTATTTCTCAAATCCATGAATAACCAGAGTCAAGTACCTTTTTTTTTCTTCTTCTTTTTGATCTATAAAACAGCATCGGGATAATGCTTTAAATTAGCTGCATCGGGTCCCACCCTAGTTCTTTGTTTTGTCCTTGGCATATTATGGGCAGCCTGAGTTCTGCACAAGGGCAGCTAGACTAGTCCCATGTCATATCCAATCTAGCAGCACATATATCCTTGTCTTTATAAAAGGTTTTAACCCTGCCTCAAACAATAAAAAAGCACTTGTGAACTGACCACAGAATTTTTCCATCTTTATTTTTCTTACTTGTTTACTTTTCTTAATGTCAGAACCATTTGTATCATATGCAGGAATGTCTCCCTCAATGAGAGCTTTGGAGGCGAAAAAAATATTTTTGGAGTGAGTTACTGACCACATTGTTTCCCTCTCTTTGGTTGTTTATGTTCTTCCAAAATGGTGTAATAACTTTAATTAAGATTAGCTTTAATTATAATTTACAAGAAGGCCATCACTACAGTATATTCCTCTTAATGATAGGATTATAGTGCATTTTGTTTCTCTTAAAAAAGGAATAATGGCAATGATTTCACTTTGGGTCATTGGCGATTCCACTGTTAAGCAAGATTTGCTGTGCTGGAGTAACTGGTCTGCACTGGTAGAGAAGGAAGCCATGTTGTGTGCTTATCTTAAATCCATAGACATTTCTCAAGCCTTGTTTTAGAGAGTAGAGGATTATGTGCCCTGGCCGCTTGGCTCAGTGGATAGAGAGGCAGCCTGTGGACTGAAGAAGAAGAGTAGAGGATTAGAAGGTAATAAGCTCAATCAAAACTCATACATCTTTCATATGCTTTTTTTTCTACCCTTGATCTTTCTGCTTTTTGCCCTGTTCCACCGAGCGTTTTCCTTGGGGATCGTGGTATCCCCGAGTCCTCTCTCCCAGAATGCTGATCTACTTGAGAGCACCCTGCATCCCAGAGTCTTCTGTTGCCTCAGCAAAGTCAGGGCGGACTGTCTTCTTCCTAAGTAACATAATTTTATAGAACAATTTGTTCCTTGAGGAATAATGTTTTAGATTGCGGGGAATCCTATTAAAAGTACAACTATTACAATCATTTGCTTTTACTTTTACCAGCCTTGCTCATAAACCCTCCATCTGTTTGTGGCTTTAAATAGAGGCACATTATAGGAGATTATCACTCGATCAGGCTGCATGTCTGAGTGTGGTGCACTTTCACATACTCGTGTAGCAAGGAGTAAAGTAAAGCAAGACACAGACTCTGATGAAGGGATTTTTTGCTTGGGTTTTCTATTTTTATGTGCATGCGTGTGTGTGTGTGTGTGCGTGCGTGCGTGCTTGTGTGTGTGTGTTGGATGGGGAGGGTTTCCGTCAGAGATGTACCTTGCAGAGTTACAAGGAAAAAATGTCTTTTTTGCTTCTTCTAAGAAGTAACTTGACCATCTTTCTGTTTTTTTGTCAGTATGCAGATTAACAGGGTTCTTTGCATCAAAACAGTAGCAGTGCTCAGTAATCACGACTTAGGAGAGCAGCCACAGTCACACCTGTACCACTGCCCACTGCCCGGGGTGGACAGCGCAGGGCCCATAGAGGGTGTTCCATTTTGTCTGCCCATCACAGTTGACCATATGTGACATTCACTAGCTGCTTCTCCCAGTTCTGTTTTCCAAAGAAAGCCTCACTCAAGAAGGCTGTTCCCATGGCTTGATTCTGCTCTAATTTGCCCAAATACCCTGTTGTCAAGTGACTATGACCTGGAATAGGAAATGAGACCAGAGCACAGAACATGTTGGTTACATGTTTGTGTGACAAACCAACCATCAGCCCTGGGTGGAGCACTGCATGTTACTCTCAGTGCAGCAGCGCACACTGAGGGGACTTGGAAGAACATTAAAAGACAAGCCCTCTATCCTAAAACCCCCATCTTCCTACAAGTTTATTTGAAATTTTCCAATATTAGTGTTTTTCCTTTGGGTAACTATAATCCTAACTGTTAATTTGTCACTTTGTAGCTGGGGTAAATAATAAGTTATGCTACTCATACATATTAGCACATTAGCATTGCTAATTTTTCTAAAGTAAATTGGCATGTGGCATGGAGGACATGTAATCTAGGACAAAGGAGTTTTGCTAAGAAAGAAAAAAGAAAATTCTAAGTATGGAGTGTAGTGGAGGTAAGCTGCTAAAGTAGGGGTGATGCAAATGGGAATACATTGAATTATGCCAAAGGAGATCACTCCCGCGTGGAACACAGAGGGAGCTGAGGGAGCAATGAGAAGGAAGGCAAGGGACAGTTTTCTGTCTGCCATGTGTTCATCAAACCTCCATCTCTGGAAAATCTTAAAGCCTAGGTTTCTATCACTTTCTATCACGTTCTATCACTGAGGAACAGCGGAGTAAAGTTTTTTTTTTTTTTTAATATATTTTATTATTTTTTTACAGAGAGAAGGGAGAGGGATAGATAGAAACATCGATGAGAGAGAAACATCAATCAGCTGCCTCCTGCACACCTCCTACTGGGGATGTGCCCCAAACCAAGGTATATGCCCTTCACCAGAATCGAACCTGGGACCCTTCAGTCCGAAGGCCAAAGCTCTATCCACTGAGCCAAACTGGTTAGGGCGAGTAAATTTGTTTATGAAGTTTGAAAATCAACTAGAGTAATGTGTGGCCCAAGACATTGGTTATGTTGAATTTTAAAATATATATATTTTATTGATTTTTTTAGAGAGGAAAAGAGAGGGATAGAGAGTAAGAAACATCAATGAGAGAGAATCATCGATCAGCAACCGCAACCAAGGTACATGCCCTTGACCTGAATTGAACCTGGGACCTTTCAGTCTGCAGGCCGATGCTCTATCCACTGAGCCAAATTACTTTTGGCTATGTTGAATTTTAATAAGAAACATATCAATATGTTGAAATAGAAATACTTAACTTTTCAAATATTGTTAATGTAAGTTAGTAGCACTTGCTCTTCTGAAATGATTCAAGCTGAAAACTACACATCTTTGGATGCCCTATTATCTAGATGTGATAACTTGATTTTAACGAGTTAGTAAATATCTTTTTTTTTTTTTTTTAAGATATCTTTTGAGAGCCTATGATATATATGCCTTTTAAATTTATTTGTCTTTTGGGGAGGATTTTTGCAATGTTGATGTGATCAACTTTCTTAATTTTTGTGATATATGTATGGAAGAGTTACAGGGGCTGTGATATCTGAGAAATTCTTCAATATCTTAAAATCATAAAATTATTTTTCTACAATTTCTTTTAAAAGTTGTAAAAATTTACCTTGGATATTTAGGTGTTTAGTCCTTCTGCAGTGGACTGTGTGTTGGTGTGATGCAGGCTCATAATTAAACTTTTTTACTACACGGTTGGCTTATTGTTCGGCTTCTCTTTTTTTTCTCCTTTTTAATACTATCC